ATATTAAAAATTGTCTTTGATCTTTCAAGCTGTTTAATGCCACTCAGCGGGTGTTGCATGCATCCGTCCAAAAGCAGTTAAATAAAATGCGCCCATCCATTAAAAAATAGTGTCTCACACGGCTCTGGGGGGTGAACAAAGGCTTTCTGTTGCGAATCGATGCGTTTTTGTAAGAAAAATATCCATATTCAAAACGTAATAATCACTTTACTGTAGCTTGCGCTTACTGTTGTACACGGAAGCAGTTCCGGGGGAATGATGTATGAGGTCAGCTTTGCGCATGCGCCGCTCAGAAGTGACGCACGCGGAAGCGCAGGGTCATGTGCATCCATGCTCTCATATTATTCATAGTAAGATGGCAGTGACACACAAAGGAAATGGGTTATAGTATATAAAACTAGAAAATGTGATGCGTAAGCGAGCAAAATATTCCCGTGCGTGTGATTTGTTTCTCGAGGGCATGAAAAACTTTGTGTTCATGAAAAAATCATTATGTACTGTATGTATGCAAGATAATCATTGAAAAAAAACCTGAGAAAATAAAAATATTAACAGATGACTATACTATATACCAAAAATAAAGCTGAAAATAATGCTGTACGAACCATTTATGTTAAATGTGGTCTGAAAATCTAGTGAGAGAAATTTAAGTCTGGAAAAGTATGGAATTATGAAATGGAAAATGTGTAGGAACCCTGCCTATGCAAAATCCAAATTGTAGAAAATGTCCACCCTAACTTTCACTATTTCCACTTCATTGTGTCCAAGGATATGAAAAAGCCATGGAAATTCTTCCTAGTTATGTTCAGTTCTGCAGTATTTAATCTGCTGGAAATTGGGTGTGATCACTGTAAAATGATTTTTAAAATTCCTGCTGGAAAAATCAAATGTGGGAACCCTGTTAACAGTGTTTGCATGCATGTGATCTGATTGTCTAAAACTGGTTTTATGCATGCAGATCTGAATGTGTAATGTGGTTCTGCTTTTTCTGTAATCAGAGTGAAGCCCAAATCTGATGTTCATGTTGCTATGGCGTCCCCAGTCATGGCACCCGTGGAGGCTCTTCCGAGCCACGGAGGTGAGCAGCAGCCGCTGTCCACTCCTGCTCAGCATCATTCACAGGCCATTCCCACCCTTCTGGCTCCACCAGATCCGACACCTCCCTCTCAGCCCACTGCTGTTCTTTCAGCCCTACCGGCAGCCATGGCTGTCACTCCCCCTGTGCCTGCCTCCATGGCCAATGCAGTGGCTTCTCCCACTCAGCCAGCGGCCACCAGCACTGCTGCCCTGAGCTCCACCCTTCCAGAGGTTAAAGTGAAACAGGAAACTGAGCCAATGGATACTTCACAAGCAGGTAGGTGTGCTTGTGAAAACAGGAGTCCACATATTCCTTATACAGTCATAACAGCTATAAACACTTGACCTTATGATATTGGTTATTTAACCATGCTCACTGCTTCAAGGATGAAAAACTCTAATTCAAGGATGGATACTCTATTTACTGTCTGTCCATCAAACAAAATGACGTACCTGATGATTTTGGAATAAATTACTTCAAATGCAGTTTTACATAGTTTATCGTTGTGCAAAAATCAGAAAACACAAGCTTTTGTATCAGGTTATGGTGAAACCCTTAATGTAAAGGTAAAATATGAGAACATAGTGAAATTATTAAAAAACTGATTCACACTGGAGTTTTTTTCTTCTTCAAATAAAACCAAATATTCCACATATAAGAGAAGTCAATGAATGCAAAAGTATCTTGGATGAAGCCCATTTGCATTTAGTAAACAGATGTTTACTCCAGCTGTAGATAGATATTTACGGAGGAAATAAACCTGAGAAGCATATTGCATATACAATTTAGGGGTGCGCCGATCCGATATTCAGGATTGGTATCGCTCCGATACTGGCATTTTCTGCTGGATCAGGGTATCGGTCAGACGAGACGGATCCAAATCCGATATAATGCGTATACTATTCTGTGTTTTTGTTAAGCCCCACGAAAGGCACAAAAACATTATAAAGCACCATAAACATCAGCGGTTTTGCATAAAATGACTATCTTGCTGGAGTTTATAGCTAATTCTAAATCATGTTACTTTCTACCAGGTGTCTGTTAGAGATCACAACACTGGCATACAGAGCACTATGAATTGTTCTTCACGCGCACAGTAAATGAAATTTAAAACTGTTAAAAGAAAAGGCTCAATAAACTAACGCACAGATTTAATACACTACGCATCAGTATCTTTGAACTTTTCTATGCTGTGACTCCGTGTTGCTTCAAGCGCATCATTCTGCACACGGGATGTGCAGAAGCGTTTCGTGCCGCTCTGTATTGGAGCCTTTCATGTTATAATACTTTTGCGCAATGAAAGATTGTTAATAGC